ATATTATCAAAGTATGCAAATAAGCCAGCCAGAACTACCTTCCTGCTAAATCACCTTCATTACTCTTAAAAGGATCATCTCCTAATGGGACTAAGAATCAAATAAATGCATTAGATACAAATGGATTTCTATAATTAACATGGGTAAATTCATATTCTCTAAAAACAAAAAAGATAAACACAAAAGAGCCTAATCATAAAAAAGAGTTTTAATATTAGAACATCCCTTAGATGATCTTCTAGTCTAACCTTTCTGTTTTATATATAAAGAAACTAACGTCCAAAGAGGTAATGTGACTTGCTCAGCTAAAGAACCAGGACTAGAAACCAAGCTCCTGTTACGTCAACTACCAACTTTTCAGTAGTAAAAAGCTAACAAGCTCACAGAACATACACATTCTCAAAGCTATATAAGATAAAGGAATCAAGGTGATACTGAGATGCAGTTTCTCAACAAAGAGAAAACTGCTTGAAGTCTTTGGTTTGGAGAGTCAAGTGAGCAAGATACCTTAACAAATATCTTAAAGATAACAAATATCTTTAAACAAATATTTCTGAAACAAGGGAAATAACTCCTGTATTTTAAAGATTTATAAGTTTATAGTCATAGCCTCCTCTCAACCGTACAGTCTAATCTGCTCTTACGTATTTATTTATCATTTTTAAAATTTTATTTATTTTTAAAGATATTATTTTTAAGTACGCCCAACGTGGGGCTCAAACCCACAACCCCAAAATCAAGAGTCACATGCTCCAGCCAGGTGCCCCTTATGTAATTAAGGGGCCATTTAATTAAATGGCAAGTTCTCTGCCATGACTTTTCTTAATGAGAAGAACTTAATTTAGGAGCACAAAATACAACAAAAGGAGTACCTGGCTGGCTCAGTGAGTAGCATCCGACTCTTGATCTCAGGGTCATGAGTGCTAGCCCCACATTGGGTGTGGAGCCCACTTTAAAAAAAAATACAGTTAAAAACTCTGTTGATACACACTGAAAATGTATGTTGTGGTTCTCACAGTGAGACTATAATCTAAAAAAACAATTAAAAAATAATTTTATTAAGTGCTCTAATCACATACATTTTAACATGATGTGTAAAAACCCAAAATTCCACTTATCCTGGAGGGATTTAATTCTGAGAAACAATATAATGTCCACATGTAAATACTAACAATTAAAAAATAATAGGTATATAGGTATACAAGGACAGGTGTATAATGGGCATGGGTTACCAGAAGCACCTGACATACATAGCTTTTAATGGACCTATCTTTACTTTCAAAACATAATGGTTACATTTTCTGAATTTCAAACAACAGTCATGAGAATCTATCAGATGCTAGATATAATTTCTATGCAGAGCACTGGAAAAAGAAATGTACATGCCTAGGGTTCAAAGACCTTACTTTAGGGGCACCTGGGTGGCTCAGTCGGTTAGGCTTCCGACTTGGGCTCAGGTCATGATCTCACAGTCCGTGGGTTTGAGCCCTGCGTCCGGCTCTGTGCTGACAGCTCAGAGCCTGGAGCCTGCTTCGGATTCTGTCTCCCTCTCTCTCTCGGCCCCACCTCCGCTCACTCTCTGTCTCTGTCTCTCAAAATAAAATAAAGTCATGAAAAAAACCCCCACAAAGACCTTACTTTATAGCCTTATGGGGCTACACTGTAATCAAGACTACCCCTTCAACATTACAGAATGTAAGGCCATTAGTACATCAAGGGAAACTGGTCCTTCCTCAAACAGCTAGAAGGATAGCATGAAAGGCCCAAAGTAGAGGAACTTAACAGAGGACCAATCGGGAGAAGAAGGGGGGAAATGGTGGGGGAAAGGGAGAGAGGCAAACCATGAGAGACTCTTGAATGCTGACAAAAACTGAGGACTGATGGATGTGGGGGGG